TCGCCGTTTCTCCTTCGGACGACATGGCGGCTAGATCCGATTCGGCACGCTTCGCCTTGATAGACTTTTGGGAAATTGATGGGGACGCTTCCCGATCTGAAACTATCACAGAAGAAAGTTTTTCCTCCTTAGTTCGAACAGGACCTCGTTTCAATCTGGTCTCCTCGGCAGCTGATGGTTGTGGGTCGGATTTTTTGCGTTCCTTTGGACTGGGCAGTTTCGCTGACAGAGGTTTCTTGCGATGTTCGCCATCAACAGTTGGGCTTGAATTGCGCCGTTTCGAGGGACGGGCTTCGCTCCTTTCTTCCCGCCTCGCCCGCTTCTCCTCTCTCTCCCGATCACGTCCGCGCTTTCCAGGAGATTTGAGTTTAGACTTGTGTGAGTTCTTGTGAGCATCGTAGGCGTTTTTCAAGAGTTGTTCTTCTTCTTTCCAGTTTGTTCCTTGGCGGCGCTTGGCGATTTCGTAGTATGTTTCCCCTTTAAACCGTTTCGTAGGGTCAAAGTTTTGTTGTTCCAAAAGCAACTCCACTACATTGAGGTTTTCTTGGCCAATAGCAGCGAGAATAGGCGTCGCAAACTCTTCGGGCTGGGACGGGACGGGCTCTGGGTCGGCTTTGGCCCCTCCCAAACCCAGAAGTAATTGCATCACTAAGTCATGACCACCTCGGGCTGCTGCCACCATTGATTCCGCATCATCGCAGTTGTCCTTTACCTGAAGTATTCGAGCGACCGTCTCTTCATCGCCTCGCCCGGCAGCTTGTCGTAACGTCTTGTCGTCCAAGGGCATGTAAAGTAAATCATTTCTCGTCTTTGTTGACCGAACTGTACCACCGCGTCTGTTGCTAGCCTGTGTCGACAATTGCCGAGGTGACTCAGGGGCATGAGAGTCGCGTTGTTCATGAGGATCGTGATGGGAATGTCGGTCCTCCGAGGTCTTTGTCCGTCCACCAAACCGTTTTTTCGCTTCTATAAGCGCAGCACGAATCTCGTCGGCGTTATCGGTTTCTTCTGTCACTCGATCGATAGGCTCTTCCCCATTCACATTTGCTTTCCGAGGGTTCACGCCAGCGTTCAGAAGAAGCTTAACAACTCCAAGATGCCCATTGTCTACGGCGTCTAGGAGAGGTGTATCCTTATCATAGTTAACACAATCAAGATTGCAACCAGCTTCAATCAAGAGCTGAACGATATCCTCGCAACCATTAATTGCAGCAATTTGAAGAGGGGTATTGCCAGCGTAATCAGCGACATTTAAATCTTCAGGTCTATCCTTCAAGCGGAACTTAGCAGCATCGTATTCTCCTCGGGCACAGGCTCGAGCCAACAGAGTTTGGCCATGAGCATCGAGGTGCTTTTTGTGAGACAGAACCTTGGCAGGAGAGACAAGCGATTCGGTGGTAGACGGGGTTGTCAGGCTCCTCAGTTTTGCATTGCGCAAATGAGGGCTACCACTTGCAGATGATTCATCAGAAATGTCCTCCGGGGGTTGCAGGGGCGCAGGCAAACGCTTCTTCTTCAGGCCTGAGCCATTAGATGATTGTGATGGCAATTGGGTGGAAACACTTCTCCGGTGTGTTCGATGGGGTGGTGAAGTAGAACGATGATGGGCATCACTCTTCGAAGGGTGAGCTCGATGATCCTTCGAGGGCCTTGTCATCTCCATAGTTGCGCTTATGGTGCGAGGACGGCGGGGTTTGCGGTTGTCATCCTCATCGTCGGATTCGGTACGCGGCGCCTTGCGTTTATGTGGTAACAATCGTTCCCCCGACTTGAATTTCTCTCGTAGAGATGACTTTGACGTAGCCGCCTTCTGGCGATGATCTTCGGAATCAGAGAGCGACAAGGAGCTATTGAGAGAGCGTCGGCGTCGCGACTGAGGCTGGGGACGCGGCGACGTTGGTGCTGAGCTAAGACCACTTGAGCCATCCTTACTGAGCCCTGATCTCTCCTTTTCCTTCTCGTGTGAGTTGGATGGACGCTTCTTCTTAATATCCCTCGAGATTCCATCGATCCGGCCAGCGCTGGCATGGTGTTCCCCACCACCGTCGCGCTTGCGCGGTGGTCCATTGTCCTTGGATCCATCTCCGTCATGATCACTTCTGTCCTCTTGTCTAACCTTGCGAACTTTGGACGGGGAGTAGCCGTCCTTCCCCGGTAACACAACAGTCTCGGCATCGGAGTCGTGATCGCCGGCACCAGTATTCACGGAGGTATCTGCCTTGATCTCGCTGGCGGGTAGCTCGGGCTTTACCTTGAGGATGCTTTTCGGTGACTTGGGGTCAGAGCTTTCGCGCTTCTCGGGCTGCTTGGACGGAGATCCAGCTCGCTTTGTCTGGTCTGTATCGGCAGCATTCTGCGCATCCATGTCACTATTTATCTGTTGGAATCGCGGGCGACAGCCAACATCCTGGATGGAGCAAAGCGATTTGTTGTCGGAGACGAGGTGGCGGCGATTGATTGGATCGCGTCGTCGGCGTTGTCAGGATCCGCAGGCAAAGCTACTCGCGTAGCGATTCAAGGCCGGCGCGGACCTGAGCAAGTGGAAGGCGGATTGAGCAGCCCTCGAGGACTGCAACTGGGGAGGCCGTCAGAAATCAGGTTGGAAGGACCAGGCCAACACAGTCGAGGGTAGGAACGAGGGCAAATGCAAGTCGAGCAGGATCCAAAAACGAGAGCAAGCAAACTAGGGATATCAGACTCGAAAAGAGATGCCGCAGAGACTAGGAAAATGATTGATGCTTGGGATGAAATGCCGGAATTCGATGCACCATTCGGCTGAGGCGTGCGAGTGTGTGAAGGTTAGAGACTAGAGTTCAGTTGCTGCAAACGGGGGACTGGCCTGGGTTCGCCCAGACGACAGACGGCGAAACAGCCCAGAGGCGCTAGACTGCATATAGCCCGTGCCCATGCAGAGACAAAAGTCTGATCGCCACAGCTGAGCCGCCTGTGATTGGCCTGCGGTCCCGACTGACTAAGCACACCCTGCACTAGCCCCTCCCCAACCTGGAAGCACAACGCAGGAGGTCGCATTTCATTATTAGAAGAGGAGCTAGGTACTTGATCCAGGCGTCATCAACGAGGTACCCTGCCATTTAGTATCTCGCGACAGTGCACCTCTGTTCGGCTTCATCGCGATCTGGCAGGTACCAGCAGGCGTGCCAACACAGGTCCAAAGGGAGCACCGAGCACAAAACTCGCAGAATGAGCGGGCCATAAGAGAGAGGCCTGCCTGCGCCAGTCTGACTGTGCGGGAGAGCGGCTGCCTGCCCAAAAGGACACATGTTGCAGGCTGCAGCAAGGCATTGCTACCATCTCTCGGTACTTCCTGCATACGGTACCCAGGAAATGAATGCACTGTATCTTCCCGTCACCGTCGCTTTCTTGTAGGGACAATGAGGGCCGCCGGGTGGGTTGGCCGCCACTGCCACCTCCACTTGGCAGCCGGACTAGAGCCAGCCAGTGGCCCCTCGCCCCTCCTCGGCCCTCTGTGCTATCAACAAACAAAACCAACAAAAGCGTGTATCCTTGCTTGCAACGCCTTTTTTTCAGCTGAGGTCGCATTGCATTCGAGCCTCTTCCATCCTGCTGCCTTGGCTGAGCCCCCCTCCTCTGCCTCTTACATAGTGTCTCCCCGCGCGCCGCTCCCCTGTGCCTTATTGTGACCGGCAATGGATGATCAGCAAGATTTTCAATTACCACCATCGCTTGAGCATGCCAGGATTGCTGACCTCCCCGAGGCCGCCTTCTACCTGCCCAATTTTATCAGCAAAGACGAGGAGCAGGCCTTGCTCAGCAAAGTATGCTCAGCGACACCCGAACCCGATGCTCCCTTGTCCTCGCCCTCCCAGGCTAACGCGCGTGTGCACGGTAGATTGCTTCCGTACCAAGGCCGAGATGGAAACAGCTCACGCACCGGAGACTGCAAGCCTGGCCCTCTGAGCTAGTACAGAATCGACTGTTGAGCGCCTCTCTTCCCTCGTGGCTTGAGGATCCCGTCATTCCAAGGTTGCTGTCGCTTCCCCGTTCAGATACAGAAGCAATTCACCTCTTTGATGCAAGCCCGCACAAGCGTCCAAATCATGTCCTCATTAATGAATATTCACCCGGCATCGGCATCATGCCGCACAAGTTATGTACCTGACCTTTCTGCCAAATCTCCAGGGACGACGAATGCAAACGACGCATCATGCTGATCTACCACAGGACGGTGCAGCTTACTGGCCGGTGGTATGTACCGTCAGCTTAGGAGCCAGCCTGTGTCTCAACCTCTATCGTAGTAAAGAAGACGGCGCAATCGATCCGGAACCCGTTTGGAGAATATTGCAGGAGCCGCGTAGTCTTCTTATTACCACCCAATCGCTCTACACTGACTACTTGCATGGGATTGCCGACATTAACGAAGATGTTGGCCTCTCGCCCGAATCCATTGTCAATTGGCCCTTGCTCAAATCCCCAGATACTTTCGCGGATGGAATAAACATCCGCGAGACACGCACTAGCCTCACATATCGGGATGTGCTGAAAGTGTCCCGCCTTGGACTCAATCCACTTTTCAAATCTTGAAGAACTCTTTGAAGCTTTTGAGACAGAAGAGACTACCTTGATTCCTTGCCCTTTAGCAAGAGGGCACTTGGCCCCCAATTTTTGAAATTGAAGAAATCTCGGATGTGACCTTGGCCACAGAAAGGAATGCTGCATGAGTCTTGCCTCGGCATTCGGCATAAGGCGATAGACAAAGAAACGAGATGGAATACGAAAAGAAAGAAAAAGTCAAATCTCGTGGTTAAACAGGAAGCAGGCCAGATATGTCGTGCATCTCTACATTCGCTACATTCCACCCCGTGTTGTCCCGCAATACCAATTGCTCGTAGACGGCAACAGACTTGAATTGACATGTACCAATTCCTCAACGAAGTAGTCTATACTCGTACGAGAGATCGAGGCAAATGCAGCAGAACTTCAGGGTGATGACGACTTTGCCATGTAAATCATCGACATATCTACCAGACAAACGGAATCATCCTCCACTTGGGGTCTACCTTCTCAGAACCGAACTTCAGAGCATACCATTCCTTTGTGCCCTTAGCCGTCGTACCCAGGTTGATCGCAATAAACAAGAGGCCCAGGAGGGTGGTATTGTTGAAAAGCTGGCCCGCAGGTGTGGCCAAAACACACAGACCAAGATACAGAAGACATTCGCTGGCGTAATGGGCGCAGACGATGTGTTTGAACCAGCCTTGCTCGGGAAGCGTATATTTCTTGAGGCTGGACAGGTACTTGTGGCACTGCTGCTGCTTCAGCCACCCAACGGTGAAAAGAGCAACTCCGAGGGCAAGTCGCTTTGGGGGGCGGAAGATGACCTGTTCGTCCTCCCACGAGTTGAGGATCGCGCCTTTTGTGTAGAGGAGAGTAAGCGTAAGCCTGGGCCCAGGTCATGCACAGTCGCCATTGAGGACTTACCTGAACCCTCTATCCAGACAGAGACGCTCATGGATGCATAGTAGAGCAAGCCCAGCAGCCAGTGAAGGCTTGACATTGGCGAGCTCCCAGATTTCGTCACGAACAGACTCTCGTAGAGCCTCCGAGTCCCCTGGAGGGCCATCAGAGCCCACGCAACATACACCTGGGAAATGTCCATAGAAGGTGTATTCCCTGCAGCGACCTGGGCCGACGCAATATCTCTCAGCACAGTGCCCCTGGTAACATACTGCCAGCCCCAGAAAGCGGACAGGCTCACTGAGAGGATGTAGAAGTGAAGAAACCACGAATGGGGCACCTGGAGGCAATCCAGAAGCCGCGCAAGAAGGCTCTGTCTGGAGTCCTTCTCTAAACGAGCTCCATAGTCCATCAACGCTTGGCGGTAAGTGGTAGGTAGAGTTTGGATGGTGATGATTGTGACAGATGCAAAGACGAAGAAAACCTGGCAGATTTGAGACGGCGGCACGCCTCTCAAGGCCACTATCAACTCTTGAATCCAGTCCATTCTTTTGTGATAATGTTACAGTAGTTGAATGAGAAAGTCTGATATGCTGGATTCGTGCCGAACTATTTTCCAAGCCTTGGTTGTCTTGATCCATCTGTTACCCTATACCGGCGTGGTGCGCCTGTTGGTATCAACCAACAAAGCAATTTCCCATCATGCAGCCTTTCACATGTATTGCCCGCTGAGTGGATTAAGGTGTTCATTCTGATTGTGGCTGGAAACGAAAATCTTATTCGTATTTTGACTTGGCTTGCATGTTCTCGTCATTCAAGATATTTCACAAAGTGTCATGATATGATACAACCCTTTAGGACCATCTGAAAAGTTTTGTAGAATTATCAAAAAATGGAAAGACAAATTTTGCTTATGTAGAATGCGACTACTTCCTTTTTTCCATTCTCACGGGCTCATTCCTCATTCAAGGTAGACTATACTGAGCTCTAGAATACATCCACCTCAAAAGTGCAATCATACCTTTCCGGAAACGCCAGTGCATACCTCATTCATCACCCTAACCTACTGCTTGTTTCGCAGGTGAGGGGGAACCCACTTACCAGCAGTCCGCGAGGGAGGCAAATTCTCAGACGGAGCAGGAGGCTCCGCCCGGTTGTTGTCGCCCCGGCCGGAACCAGAGCGGTCCATGGGAGCTCCGCCGCGAGGCTCGAACCTCCTGGGTGGTGGTGCGTTGTCAGAGGCGCCAGCCGGGGCACCGCCGCCAGCAGCAGCCTTTGCGGCTTCACGCTCGCGCCAGCTGGGCTTGTTGCCGGCGAGCTGCAGGCGGGGAGGTCCACCGGAGGAGCGCTCGTTGGAATCTGTTCGCTCGATAGGAGCTGGACGAGCGGGGGGAGGGGCGTCTTCAGCCCGCGAAGCTTCACGGTCACGCCACTTGCCGGATCCAATAACAGCAGGTCTTCGGCCTTCGGTAGCTTCGCTACGCTCTGGTACACGGGACGGGGCTGGAGCAGGCTTCTCCCTCTCAGCCTTGCGACGGGCGAGAGCTTCTTCCTCACGACGTTGCTGGAGTGCAGCCTTCTCGAGCGTCTCCTGTCGCTCCTTTTCGCGCTGTTCCTTAAGCTTGGCAAGTTCGGCCCTCTTGGCCTCTTCACGGAGACGCTGCTCCTCCTTCTCGCGAGCAGCGCGCTCTTCAGCCTCTTGCAGCTGTCGTTCCCTCTCTTCACGTTCCCTCTTCTCACGGAGCTTGCGATCTCTGTGCTCCTTCTTTCGGAGATTGATCTGCTTCTCCAATTCACGCTCGGCATCCCTACGACGCTTCTCAAACTCATCGCGGCGTCGCTCGTGAAGGGACGATCGGAAGCCCTCGTAGAGAGGAACCAGACGGCTAAGTCTGTGCTTGAGCTCAACACTGGCGGCGTGCTTCTCCTCAGCTTCTTTAAGGGTCTTGGCCTTGACTTGTTCGTAGATCTTTCGGTCTTCGGCGATTTGCGTCTCGTAGTCAATGTTCAACTTCTTGGCTTCCTCCTTACGTAAAGCACGCTCAAGATGGTCGATGCGCTTGCCAGTGATGCGAAGTCTTTCATTGACATCGTTCTTCTCTCTTTCAAGCTGTGCAAGCTTCATGGCTCGGAGACGGTTGGTGTCCAGGTTATCCAGGTCGTCAAGATCAATGTCAAGGGCCTTGTCATTCATCTTGAGATCGGCAATCTGCTTCTTAAGCTCTTCCTTGCGGACACGATCGTGCTCAGCCTTGATACGCTTTTCTTCACGCTCCTTCTGCTCATCAGCCAGACGCTTGTCCTCAGCCTCCTGAAGCTGCTGCTCACGGAGTCGCTTCTGGCGGGAAAGTTCCTTCTCACGTCGAGCCTGAAGTTCAGAGGCTTCTTCCTTGCGCTTCTGAATGATTTCCTTGCGAGCAATTGTGTCGAGGTGCTCCTGCTCCGCACCCGCCTTTGCTCTGGCCAGCGCGGCATTTCGAGCCGCCAAGCGCTCCTTGTTGAACTCAGGATCGATGTAGTGGCATGTAGTGTAAAGACTGCGGGCAAGTCTGGTGAGTTGAGAACGAACAATCTCGGAAGGAGTGCTCTGCAGGCGTTGAACGGTGCCTGTCTCAGACTCAGCAGAGCCTGCTCCAGAACCACTGTGGCCAGCCTTGGCTGATGAGAACACGTCGTTATCGAAGCTCAAGACACCAGTGGCGTGATCCATACGAATAGAAAGATCACCCTTCTTGTTACCGTTCATAATGAACTTCTCGATGGTGCTGCGGGACACTTGGTATGGTTCGGGGAACTGTGCCAGGCTCTCCACGAAGCTCAAATCCACGGTATCGTACACCTGCGACAACTGCTGGAACAGTCTCGTGAGAATGACTTGCTGTAGAGGCACGACATACCTCTCCATCTCAGAATCGGCTCCAATCTTTGTCAGAATAGGAGAAATCTTCTTGCAAATGGAAAGCGGGTGGAAGTCAACCTCAAGGATGTTGTAGAGGTCACGGATCTCGGGACGGGCACGCTGAAGAAGAGACTTGGACAGAGCATCCTTGAAGAGACGGGAGCGGGTAGGGGCCTGGTTCATGCCCAACAAGTGTGTCAAGCGAGAATTCTTGTTCTTCCTGGCCTCATCGAAGTCGACCATGGCGCCTCGAGATCGCGAGGTGCTGATAACCGGGATGGCCAGAGCTGACAGAAGGACAAAGGAAGCAGCCTTCTGCAGATCAGCATCAGAAGCGGGAGGGTTGTCAGCCTTCTTGCCCTGGCCGGCGGCCACCAGGGCTGCAGATTGGCGGAGGAGAGTGTAGTATCGAGACCAGGCAGCAGCGTGGAAGAGGTAGTTCTCTCCCACAAGGAAGATACGTGTAAGTTTCTCGTAATAGTTGGCCATCATGACGTTCTTGGGGGGTCGCTTGCTGAGGTTGAGCAGAGTGTGGATATCTTCTACACTGCGGAAGGCTTCCTGCCAAAGCTCCAGCTCGACGGCCACGTTGAGTTGTTGGAATCGAGTCTCGAGATGACGCTGGAGAGTATCTGGGTCGTTGAGATTGATGGCATGCATCTGGGACGAGTATTTTGCTGCCGTCTGCACATGGTTTCGGAGAAGTTCGCAAAGTCTTCGGAATTCAGTCTTGCGAGTGTACTTGAGGCAGAAGTCGAAGGCCTGCATGGCGGTACTCTGATATAGGATCTCGAGCCTGGCATTGTTGCGGAGAATGTCCAGGACAGTACGGTAGGCCTCCCACAGGAACTTCAACCAGGGAGTAACGATGGCACGGTCGGTACGGTCGCGGGACTGCTCACCGGAGACGGTGGCGAGGAGGATGGATTCGGGGGTCTCGGTAGCCTCCAGGTCGTCGACGTTGGATGTAGCGGTGGTGGCTTCGATCGTCGACTGGACTTCGTCGGCCTTGGCCTGAGCAGCGGTGACCTTACCCACAGCGAGCTCGATAAATTTCTTGAGAACCAGCTATACCTTCATTAGTTCGTTGTTGCAAATTCAACCCTGGTTTTCAATTCCATACCTCGATGGTGCCAATATTCGTGTTTTGGGAGATGTTCTTGTACTGATACAGAGCATCCTTGGCTAGCTTTCCCTTCTTCTGCTCGACGGAGAGCTCGACCAAGAGAATCATAACAGGTTCGAGCGATACGATCGGGACGCTACGAGAGCGCTTGCTGGTGATGTGCTCATGCAGCAGGGTCAAGGCCGCAGGGGCCTGGTTGACCCCGATGAGCTCGTGGGCGCGCTTCAAGACATTTTCGGGTTTTTGGTGCGGCGGAGGAGGCTGGTGGCATCAGATATCAGCAAAGTTCAACAGACATGAAATAAAATGTGCTCTAGGGAGGGGTAGTTGAGCATATCAAACTCCATGACCCCCTAGTAGGAAACATATATATCATTACATACCATATTGGGCAACCTCCTCAACGGATCGACTCAAGCCTGACAGAAGTATCTTCTGGCGATGGTTGCGCCGTGGTTGAGTCAATGAGTGCACAGGTTGTGCCGGCTGTCCCTATCAAAACGTGGGTTACAGGCCTCACATACTCGATATCAATTTTTCAAATTCGTGTGTGGCGGGGTTAACCTGAATGAAAGAAGTCACGTGAGATAAGGATTACCTCAGCAAGTTTTCGCATTGCTCTCCAGAAATTGATTTCATGCCAAAGAACTGACAACTCACTTGATTTCCATTAAAGAAGCCGATACCTCGAAAATACTGGGCCGAGCCCTTATTTTTGCATTTGCATAACCGTTGACTTGCATTTCATTCTTTTTCCCTATTGGGGTCTCATTTGACCTGGCGTTTTTTCAGACAACACAGCCAAGCTGCTCGTTGCATCACGTGAACTCAACAGGGACTTGAAAAGACCCACTATAATTCCCGATCTTGTTCTCAGCCCAACAACACCTGATGGCTAGATATTGAACGTCTATTTAAATTTTAGCAAAGAGCTCTTTTACTGCTATCAACACTTCAAGATCTCTTACGAAACAAGAAAAGTTGAAGATGGCGGACGATTCGCGACGAAGGTCGCGTTCTCGTTCGCCTGCGCGTCGCCCACCCAAAGCCAACCGTGGATTCAGGTGGAAGGAGAGTCGCTCGAATGATGGCGATAGGGATCGACGAGACAACGACCGACGACGAGATTATCGCAACCGGTCCCCCCCTAGATATCGCAACTCGTACCGCGATAACGATCGCGACAGAAACGACCGCGATAGAAACGACCATGAGAGAAACGACCGTGAGAGAGATGGTCGAAACCGAAACGATCGCGAATCTTTTCGCCCATCACATGATGACCGCCCCCGAAGGAGAGACAGGGAACCCAAGGATGATTCAGAGAAGCCCGCCAAGAAGGACAAGAAACCCCCGGTTGCCGCTGCAGCTCCAGGCCAGGAGATGATTGTTGTGAACATTAATGATCGCCTGGGTACAAAATCTGCCATCCCATGCTTACCATCCGATACAATCCGTGAGCTGAAGATCATGGTGGCCGCACGTATCGGTCGCGAGCCAGGGCAGATTATGTTGAAGCGCCAAGGCGAACGGCCATTCAAAGACCAGCTTAGCTTGGAGGATTACGGAATTTCAAATGGCGTGCAGCTCGACTTGGAGGTGGATACTGGAGATTAAAGCACCTATATGCTGGCTTGCAGCACGATGATAACGAATTTCACACACTGTTGCTGTTGCGACTTATGCGAGGTTGGTGCTTACTCTTACAATACAATAAATGGCTAGTGTTTCACGAAGGCTAATCTATGTCCTACCATCAGAACCATGATCTGTAGAGGCAAATATCGTCGGGGTGATGTAAAATCTCTGGTAACTTCCGTCAGTTCTTCCCAAAGTGACTGTTCTCAACTTGGTAAGTGGTATCATAGCAGCCGTCCTCCAATTGCTTTCATCCGAATGGGCGACGAAAGCTTCAGGTCTGTGCGTTCAGTCATTTTCCATGGGGCTAGATACGCTGTGAATGTATTCCGTAGCCGGCCTGAAACTCAAAATAGCCGCAATTATTTTCCCCTTTGCTCACAAAATCGCAACAATTCACATTCGTTCGCACTACAGCTCGTAAAGGATCACGTTATAAGCCCAGTGGGCTATGATCGACTGGGAGCTTGAAGATAAGCTACGCGGCGTTCGACCAGCTATTTCACGTGACTGTAGAACACGCCAAGATAGCAGGCAACTTTTCCCCCTAAGAGCACCAAAACGGACCCTGCCGCCTCAGGAGGGCAGACTGGAGCTAACTGGGTGGGGTCGGATCCTCTGGGAGGCAGGTCAGTTCTCGGAAGAACTGCATCCCTCAATTTCTTTTGCAGCACGTAAGTCTCTCGGCGCAGGTCCTAGCTTCACTATGGCTCCTGGCTCCATTTTTATGGGTGCAAATGCCCGTTGGGGCGACTTCATCTGGCCCTGGTCAGTTCAATTGATTGAGGGGGCACAGGAGCGGTGGTGACGCTAGAGCTTCACTGGGGATCCGTAGTCTGGCGCCTTTAAGATGAGTATTGGCAGATGGCGGATCAGCGCTCTCACAGATGCACGTCAGAAGGGGCGGTGATGATATCTCAGGAAGACGCAGGAGGAATTGCAGTCCTTTCAGAGAGCCAATCTGGGACTGCACAATGAGAGGGAAAGGCCAAGGATCAGCGAGGGGGCTGGAGCCGACAGGACCTGGCAGCGTTCCAGTATGCGGCAGCACTCCCCTGCCGTGCAGCACTAAACCCCTGGAGTCCGCTGTAAATCAGCCTTTTAAATTAGCAGTAGACTGGAGTCGGTGGCTCCACTCCACCGGTGGTTGTGAGTCGCCGCCAGGTGAGCCTGGTCCGCCCCGTTCCTATTGGGAAGGAAGCTCTGTTGTGCTGCTGTTGCCGTATCTCTCTCGCTCCCTCCACATCCTCACACCCTCTCTCCACCTACTCCCTCCCACGGCTTCCCACGACTCTTCCACTCATTCCGTCTCCCCGTCATTGAACATTCGCCTTCCAGTGTCTTTCGACGACAATCCTCATACAGGCAAAGAAGTGTTGGGTAAGTCATTGTATTGGTTTCCTTTTTGCTGTTTCGCCTGCACAAGCGGTCTCTCCCTTGGTGCTGGACGTACCCTGGGGACCGGAAGAGAGCGAAAAAGGGGACGAGCCTGGATGGCACGCGCACGCCGGATCAGGACAACCAAAGCGACGACACTCCATGGACTCGGGACGAAACATGCTCTGCTTTCGCATACGACAACAAGGATGCTGCATCATTCTCTGGCAACATACAACGCTCTTCGGTCACGACGGATTTAATCCATGCATGGCGCCAGTCTGATTCGATGAGAGCGGCCAGGCGAGACAACCACAATAAACTGCCGCCGTTTCCTTCGACGCGCTTTCCCGTGCTGCCCGGCAATATACTCGATTCCCCTCAAACCGGACTCGACCATCGATACTAGCATCGTTGCGCTCTTCCATCCTCATTGGCATGAGAATCACCAAATACGGAGGCCTGTTGATGAACCCTATTGCTGACGCTTGGACAATTTGCAGATCGGGCGTACTCGAAAAACCTTAACCACCTTCACGTTTAATACCAACCTACTTACCTTCCTTAATATCACCATCACCATTTATCATAATGCCTCAGTACACCTCCCGCGATGTTGGCGACCCGTCGCAAATCAAGAAGAACAAGCAGTCGATGGCTGATCTGAAGCTGCGACGGTTGACCGAGCTCAACAACCGCCTGCGGGAGGACCTCGACCGCGAGCGCATCCCCGTGAGCACTGCTGCCAAGAGGTAAGGCATATGTCTAGTTGCTACGCCCGTGGATTACAACTAATCATTGATCAGCATCATCGCGTATTGCAATGGAACGAGAGATTACATGGTTCCCTCAACTTGGGGCCAGGTCCCCAAGGGCGAAGACCCATACGCGCCACAACAATCGGGTGGCTGCTGCGTGATCATGTAAAATGGCATCCGCTTAATTTTCTTCTTTCCTTTATCGGCAACCTGGTAGATCTCTAGGGACGGACCGAACAATCAAAATTTACAACATCAACGGATTAAATGGCTAGGGAAACACGACCGTCGATGACGATTAAGCTAGCGTATGTTTGCGGAGAGGACGACTCCAGTTACTTCTTCTCTATGTATTTATCTCTTGGCGCAATCTGTCTGCGGAAGCACGATTGCGACCTGTTGACTCGACGTATACCTGGGTGCTTTTATGACGGGGGCGAGGAACGGGGGTGGGACAAGACGTGGAGGTTGGTGTCAGCGGCATCCGACGAGGGACCGACTGCTCTTTATTTTGCCCAAGCATTGTCCCGCAACGGTGGAATTGGTGAGAGGGAGTGCTCTTTTTTGCGGTCTGAACGAACCGGGACACCCGACCGTCTAATTATTTCCCTTTCTCACATTTTATTTCACTTTATTCAATGTCATGTAACCTTTTTCTATTTAAATATAACTGCTTCAAACGGTGTCAATTTCATCTTAAGCCTTATCCAGGTGTTGATGCTGGCCTATGGTACATTTGGACGGTCTTGATGGGTCACCTCCCGCCGCCCACTCTAAGTCATAAACACCGCGTGCTTTCTCAACCCGATGGCGGCCGGCGGAAAGTCTATCACTGACGATCAACAACGACAAGGCGACTGACGAATTGAAACATTTCCCTTCTGGAACATTGGAAGCAACATAGTTGGTCTCAATCCCGCTACTCATTGATTTTACCCAGCTATTTGATAATTACATTATCTATTTGTCTAGTCTATCATTGTGACGACTACCTTGACAAACCTCAACCTCCAACCAGCCCATTCTCAAAATGGCAGACACCAAAGCCGCAGCCCCAACGACGGAACAGAGCGTCCCGGCTCGCCTCCCCAGAGTCACAATTGAGTTCTGCACCCAGTGCAAATGGCTCCTCCGCGCTGCATATGTAAATCCCCCCAGCCCAAACACCAACCCCTCCTACCCCTCTGGTTTCGCAAACCTTCCCCCCCCCCGTGTTTCACCATTTTCCCACCACCCCAGAACCCATATTTCAAAAACCACAACCGCTGACAAGCGCCGGCCGTTTCAGTACGCCCAGGAGCTCCTCTCGACCTTCTCCCTTGCCCTCGGCGAGGTCGCGCTGCAGCCCTCCACGGGCGGGACGTTCATCGTCGCCATCCACCACGGCGGCGAGGCGGGCGAGAGGAAGGTCCTGTGGGACCGGCGGGCCGACGGCGGGTTCCCCGAGACCAAGGAGCTGAAGCGGCGGATCAGGGACGTGGTCGAGCCTGGGCGGGACCTGGGCCACGTTGACCGGCACGGGGGTTCGAAGGCGGCGGCGACGACAAAGAGCCCCGAGGAGGAGGAGGGGAAGGGAACCAAGGGGAAAGGTGACGAGGGTGCTGGGGAGGGGAAGGCATGCGAGGATTGTCAATGATGATGGGGGGACTGCTTCTCACTCATAACCTTGGAGGGGTTGCGTGCTGGGCTTTGACAAAAGAATCGAAGAGCAATTTAGTTAGAGCTCACGAGAGCCTGGAAAAGCAGTGGAAGCACACCCAGAATAATCACCATTCGATACTAACATACTACTTCCATATTGTTTCGTCATATTCTTGCAATTGATCCTCTCCTCAGACTGCTGAGATCATATACGAGCCTGCGCATCCCTACCCTAGGTACCATCAATCTAACATCTTTCTCCGGCTTGAGGTGTCTCGTCTGGACTTGATGTACTGCTCTTATGTAAATATATAACGCCAGCTACTGGAGGTTGGGTATCCTGTACTTGCTTGGGAATCCTGATTCATCATATCGAACTCCTATGTCAATCCTGGCTCATACATTTTTTAAATCATTCGTGGGTGTCTATGTAGGACTGGCTAGGGATCTTGGTTTGAGTAAAAAGCTAGGTTTTGGTAATTAGATTTTGACTGTACACAAATATTATTCTACATTTGCTAATGTTATTACCTACCTACTTAGGATAGTATACTGAGGCTACAAAATGGGCGTAGTCATGTCAGCAGTGGATCACACCAGAGACTGAGAATAGGAAAGATAACCGTCAATGGACAGTTGAACCCTAGTTAAAGGTGTAAAATCATAGAGTTTTGTGTGCATATTTAATCTGAGAGCTAACAAACAGCCGATTGTCGTGATCAAGTTTGCGTATGAGCATTAGTGATCTTAGAGCCCGTCGAGGCATTACAGGTATGTTTCGACACGCTCGATATTCCCACGGTCCGAGGGAAACGCCCAACAACAACCCGGATGGCAGACCCGGCGAGGGAGCGAGGCGGCGAAATTATGGCGAGACGGAAGAAGCTTCGCAGAGACGAACCAGTCACAGTCCAAGGAAGTGGTGATTAGGCCTGCAAGGAGAGGAGCTGTCGCTTATCGTCGTCCGAACCTGGATGATGGTTAGTATATCTGAGAAGATCTCAAAAGAATAGGAAGCCTGCTCGACAAATCGGATCGACAGGCGGGAGGATTAGAGACTTACTTTTGTTTCTTCTCAGCAGGCTTCAAGATCTGGAAGGAACAGAGCAAGCTCTCGTCAACGCTCATCATGGCACCTGCGTTGTCGAACTCTCCACAGTAATTGGGCGCGCTGAACAGAGTGACAAGCTGTCGCTTGGAAAAGAATTCGTATCCATCCTCAACGACCTGATGGGCACGGCAAATAAGATCCATGTCGTGCTTCTGTAAGAAGCGGGACACGACGTCCGGGCCGAACGTGAAGGAGACACCTCTGTCGTTTTCGCTCCACCCGGTGATGTCCTTATCAGGGTCAGACCAGAGCAGATCGCACAGCAGGCCGCAGTCAGGAATCTAAAAGATTTTGTTAGCATGCCTTGAATAAACATCAATGGCACAAATTGCAAGGGTAGTTGCATACATCAGTGGGTCGCATGACCCGGCGGATCTGCTCCATGGAGTTCAGATCAGGGCTCAGACCTCCGTGCATGGTGAAAATCTTCTCGTCGATAATGGCGGCAATTGGCAGGCAGTTGAAGCAGTCTGTGAATGTCTTCCAAAGCTTGATGTTGTATCGGCGCTTGCATTCGTCGTAGAAGCCGTAGATACGGTTGATGGAGGCGCACTCGTGGTTTCCTCTCAGGACAAAGAAGTTTTCGGGGTACTTGATCTTGTAGGCCAGGAGCAGGCAGATGGTCTCGAGACTCTGTTTACCACGGTCGACGTAGTCACCGAGGAAGAGGTAGTTGGCCTCCGGAGGGAAGCCACCGTACTCGAAAAGACGCAGCAAGTCATAATATTGTCCGTGGATATCGCCGCAGATCTGCAACGTGATTATTAGTCACCATCTACGTACATTGCGGATTACCCGGACAGGGAAGGAGGGGGTAGGGTGGTGATGAGGGGCAAGGGAGAAACGCACCTTGATAGGTGCCTCGAGTTCGAGGAGGATAGGCTGAGAAATGAAGATCTCTCGGGCCTTGGTGCAGAGGAAGCGGATCTCAGCCTCGAGGAGCTGGACCTGCTTGCCGGGTCGGCTGCCTCGAACCTCGAGCAGCCGGTCAATTATTGAGTCAAGATCAACCTCGTGTTGGTCTGCCATTGTGTTGTGTGTCCTCGCTTATGGGAGTGGCTCGCAAATACCGTGGAGGGGGGGACGACTGCGCGTGGCAGGGAAACAACCAGATCTCACCGATGCGCAAGATGGAGTTGCAGCAGCGGGGGAGATGGAGAAACTTCGTCACGCACAGGGATTACGGGCTGCTGATGGGCACTCAGATGATGCACTTCGAATGGGGAGGCCTGCAACTGAAACGAAGACGAGAAAATAAAGCGAGTCAGCTATTTGCAAGCACGAGGATTGATCGAAGAAACGAGAGAATAAAAGAAGACAAATCAGCGAGTAAAATGCCGACAAAATAAAGCTCTGCTTAATAAAAAAGCGAAGTGTTATGGGCGGCGAGGAAAGGCAGAGAAAATTCGGCTGACAATGAATGACATGGTGGTTGAGGTGGGAGGGGAGGAGGGGCCGCAGCAGCCAAGGCAGGCTAAGTCTGTCTGGAGTTTTGGGATGTAGCGGGTAGCAGAGGGCGGGCCAACTCACTCTGAAGCGATCACAGCTCTGGTAAAAGGGGAAGCCTCTCGCCGCGCGGAGGAATCAGCACAAGGGTGGGCAAAGGGAAAAAAAAATTACCCGGGCGCACTCTGGTTCAGCAAAGGAGTGTTATCCACTCGGTTGAGATGGGCTGGCGACTGTTGGGTTTCGTAGGATCACGACAGGTTCGCGGTTGTCGTGTCGTCGTCGTAGTTGCCACGGCGGCCTGCAGAGGGATGCTCAGCACAGCGTCGACGGATTAGAAATCAGTGTCGAGGAGGTCCGATAAAATGGAAATGAGAAGCGTCTGCTGGTCGTCTGCAGACGTCGTCGCCTGGTCTGGTCCGAAGGCCAAAAGTCGCTCGCTGGGGAAGATCGCTTGGTGTTGCTTCGCTTTCGCGTGCTCAAAGGGAGGCGGCGCACTCGGTTGATAGGAGTCACGGTCGCTCGCTCTTGTCTCGCCGATAAGGGGTAGTAAATTCAAATATGAATGCACTGACCCGTGATAACAAAATCGTTGTGGGAGATGGCTCTATGAGGATTCTCCGTCGGGGACACTGTATTGTGTCGGTCGCTGTGCTCTCGCTTGTGTTGCGGGATCTCTTGTTCGAGGGATGTTATTTTTTTCTCTCGCGCGCAGAGAGATGAGGGCAGAAGGATTTGTCTGCCCGGGACCAGGACTGATGGGGCACCACCACTAGCAACGCTGCCGTTCTAGTGGCCCAGGCAGGAGAGGCACCCAGAAACGAGGCCCCAGGCTTGCTAGGATGCACCTAAGTGTTATAATTAGCGCTGCAGGCTAGAGCGAGGGTCAGCCTCTAGGCCTGTGAATGGCTGCCTTGGCCCCTACACGGTCACTGGGCTGCTGCATCTTAGTGGCTTGAAGCTCCCGAAAAAGGAAGAGACATAGCGAATGATCCAAGAAAACTCCAAGACCCCTATCTCTTGTTCCCACTTTCCCACCACGGCGCACTCTTCACTTGCGTCAAGACTGAGTGACTGGCTTGAGAAAGACCAGCCGTCAATCGAGTAGCGTGGACGCGCAAGCCCAGACCTTCCACCACAGCGGGTAGCCGCCAACTGCTTCGTAACAACGTCAGTCACCCCAACCCGCGGATGCCATGCACTGCCCTGTCTGCCTGGGCGGCAGCCCGTACCAGTATCCGTAACCGTACCAGAATTACTGCCCTACCTCACCTTACTGCTGCCATTTCAACCACCACCCCTGGGCAATTGGGTATGAAGGTTATCCGAGGGCAGTCCTTGCGCGTTGGGCCATGTTCCGAGCTGTCCGAGCTTTGACCTCACCCCTAAATCCTCATTATCCAGATGTCTAGGTAGTTTTTTGCTGCTCAGCCTACTGGGTCGCCGCCCCTCGCGGTAGAGTCACACTACTGCCCAGATGGCCGTAGTGCTCTGCAAGTGAGATGCTGTTCTTTTTGCCACCTTTAGACTGGAGCTTGTGCCAGGCACCAGTATGTGATTACAAGAGCCTCTGCAGCAGCGTACTGTATGGGGAAAGAAAAGGCGCCGACCAGACTTGCCCACGATATGGTCAAATGCAAGGGGGGCGGGATTGTGTGTCAGGTTGGCAGCCAGTCTTCATTTTGGCTCAGCCTGCCTGCCTCCGCCCAACCGCCCACATCCAGCTCCAAACTCGAAATATTGTCATCTTTCTTTGTTTCAGACTGGCTGCACATAATAACTTGGTGTTGGCCCCCGGTTCGAATCGGCCCAATCCGATCGCGAGACATGCTAGACGGTGGATGTCGCAAAAGCTTGGCCCAGCGCCTGGCCGCAAAGCTGTCCTCTGCCGCATGCTACTCGGTATTACTAGATGTTGAACGAACATGGTGTCCCCCGCCCTCGTATAAGCAGGAAATGCTTACTCAGCCTTGGTCGTTCGCCGTAGTCTCTTGACCACAACTGCCAGTTTCTAGGGCCGATGGGACAACCTTTGGTGGCTTCGCGCCTGTATCCCCGCACCGATAAGGCAACCTTGATTCTCTCACCGGCGGTTCCCTTCACCGGTCCAAGAGAGGGGTGTCGTCGTTGGGGTTTCTCAACAGAATTATTAGGGCCATCCTCCGAAAGCCTCCAATAAACGTCGCGGATCGCCCTTCTTTGTTCCCAGCTCGCCAGCCAGCCCCCCCCAATCGCAACTTGGGGCAGCTGTCCTTCGAAGTAAGTCATCGATCGATCGACTTGACTATCGGACAAACTCGAGCTCGTCGCTGGGCCAAGCCTGATCTATTTGATGCACCGTCCTTATTATGGGTATGCCCAATGCAGGCCTGGACCAACAGAATCGTCCCGTCGAATGACAGCTTCGTGTGCCCGCCCGCTACGCCATCCTAGTGCCAGCAGATCGCCTTGCAGATCCCAGTCGCTTTCTTCAATTGAAGATCAAGTAGCGATGCTAAGCTAGTCTCGAGTTTAATTCTTGCGAGGCCGGCGGGAATTTCAATGCCGCATACCCAAGGTGCATGACATGGAAAGTATCAAAATAAATTTGCACAATAGTTAGCATCAAAACAATAACCAAAATTAGCAGTTTATTTCATACTTATTGATGTGCTAATATGTGTCAGATTGCACATTCGACCGACAGTATTGCTAGAGGCGAGCGACATGGAAACCAACACACGCAAGCACTCCGAGCTGCTTCTGGTATGAAACGAGCAAATGTGAAGAGATATCTAGCCTGTCCACTTTATTTCTATACCTTCGTTCCTATACGAGGTATTCATCATCAATACAACTTATCGTTGCTGTTTCTGCTCTTTTGATCGACGCTCATGGCGAACTTTCTATTTGATGTGTCACTAACAAGTTGATTGCGGCCCAACACCAACGTATGACTTGATCATGATAAAAGGGTGACGGAAAAATCATTTATGACCATCGGTAGACGATCGGCCAATAATATGCATAGATTGCATGCCTGACTGGCAGAACAGCAGAGCACCATTCTATAATGATAGCTACGATGTAATTTCACTTTCGAGACTAGGACTCACATGGGCACCAAGGTACAAGAGGAAGCTATGGGTATCAGATGTTTTATTTCTGTGCAACTGTACATACATCGTTTTGCCGCCGAGACAAGCGACCGAGTCTAAAAAGAAAAAATCATCCGAGACATGCCATACCTGATCAACCACCGCAGCAAGCCCCGGCCATGATTAAATATAAGCCATCTTGTATCCTCCGTGAACGCCAAGCTTCCTAGGAAAAGCAAAAAAAATAAAATGAAACAACACACCGGGAGTCCAAAAAAAAAAAGGAAAAATGTAAAAGGAACAAGGAAGCAGAGCAAGCAAAGAAAAAAAAGAAACACCAGGATGACCAAGCTACCCCACGTTTGTTGTGCTCCTAGAGAGGCACCGAATCAAAACGTCCATGCTTGAAAGACCCAAATTCTTTACTCCAGCCCAACATTGGTGACTCATCCGGCTCCCCCCCTTTCGAAGCCCTCATCTCCTCCTAGTCGATGTCCTCCGCTTCCGGGGCGACGTGGTCGCCCGCGATTTTGATACACTGAGATATGTCACGGTCTCCTCAATCTCCGTGTCCACCACCATGGAGGTGGCCCCATTGACGTCTGCGCCGAGCCCCTTAAGCTCGTCGTCATCCAGGTCAGTGAGGTCCTCACTCAGCATCCGGACCGCATCTCTCCCCGCGGCCCAGAGGTCTCCCACGATGGAGGTTCCACGGGGCTGGTATTCTTTCAGATACCACAGCACACCACCTTCTGCAAGAGGGTCAGACTCCTTGCCCAGGCTACCGTTAGATTGCGGCGGTGTTGGGGGTTCCTTGTGCCTCCTATTAGTTGTCCGTACAAACGTGGTACTTCCTGGAGGAGTCTCCGATTGTGGATCGAGCTCCAGCGTTATCTTGTCCTCGGAAACCTCGATGTCACCATTGGTGATGCCGAGTCCAGATGTATTCACATCTATGCTCCCGCCATCCAAGCCTCTCACATGAACTGTGATGTCCATAGCTTCGACATCGGTATCTTGCGCCTCCTCCGACTGCCGTGCCTTCACCGTAATTTCTGATGGTGTCGCATCAACCATGATCGTATCGTGACTGTCATCTTCTTCGTCTTGTTGCTGCTCCTCCTCTTCTTGTTCAGGCTCCTCCTCTTCCTCTTCCTCCTCCTCCTCTTCTACCACATTATACTGGCTCTGAACCACAATCGGTGGCTGTTGATGCCCCAGACTGGTCTCGATTCTAGCCTCCAATTCTTTCTGGAGTGTCTCAAAGGAGACATTGGAGATCTCGCACTCAATTTTGAGAGCAGCTTCAAGTTGAGGTTGAATTGCCTTCAAGATACGCTTGCCCAGCTTGCGACGCTCACGAATATCCGCGAACACATTCTTAGTTGGGGAGGCATCAGGTGCCTCCAAATGATCGGGATTGACGCGGGTCTCAGGGGGCGAGAGTATGCCTTGAAGGATAATATCACCAATGTCCTGGGCAAACGCGAGGATCTTGACGTAGTGGCGTTTCTCCACCCTTTGATGAAGCGTTTTGAACCCATCGATGAAGAGGTCCTTGTCGAGTCTATTCCTAGATGTTAGCTTTGTGTGTTTCGTCATTAGAAAGAAGTTGGGGCAGATACTTACGAAATAGCCTTATCCACCGCCGGCAGGAGAAGTTTGGCGATGGGGAAGTAGCATTCATCGACGAAATCCTGCTCGAGCTCAGCTGCGTCAAGCTTGAGCTGCTCTCTCTCGACCAAGTTTTCAGAGAGGTTCTTGAGTTGTTCGAGGTCGTTGAGGAGAGTCTGAGCAAACTCAATGCGGCGAGTGAGACGCTCCTTGCCATCAGGGCCCATGGAGGCAAAGTTGCGCCGGGTGAGTTCCATTGAGGAGAAACTGTCCAACTGCAACTGCAGCCGTTTGAGCAGAGCGGCACCACGTCTGGATTCACGCTTCAATGTCCAGTATCGACATGCTTCGCTGAGGAACTCCTTGCGCTTTCGCACCGCGAAACGCTGCAGCGAGGCATCAACGACTTCAAAGACGGCATGGGGAATGACGGGCGCCCCCGAGGGCATTCGCCATACATTCTTTGGCGGCTGCCCCTTCTTCTTGTCGTTGGGATTGCCACTGTCCCTCTGTCCTGCCAGCTGTACTTCATCGGTGAACTGGTCTGGCAGTGCGCTGCGTTGCTGTGCTGCAATGACATTGGCCACGGCGTGATTGTCTGCCCATATGCGGCCTCTCATGTTGCGCTTGTAAAACTTCTTGGCTGCTTTGGTGGCCTCGCGGACCTTCTGTTCCTCCGTATAGTCGACTGGGCAGTGCCTGTCGCAGAATGCCTTGAGGATCACATTGCCATCCAGGACGGCCAGAGTCCCCGTGTTGGTCTTCATCTTAAGATAGAGCCTGGCTCGCCTTGCACAGGTCACATGGAATGCCTGGTAGCAGTTCTTGTTGCTGCACTGGATGCAGGCTCCCATTTTCTGGTGGCAGATGTAGCAGTTTAGTTTCCACCTCGTCCTCGGCACCTTTTCCACATCCATGACAGGCTCCATGAATGTATGATTCCCGAGACAGACTTCGGGTATCCACATGGCACAGAGAAGGTGAGCCCATTTAGAAGAGTTGGTTTGCTTGAACGCGCCATCCGTGTTGGGGCAGAAGATGCATGTCTATATCCATATGTTAGTAGCCGATTCAGGCACCATTAGGGCTGGATTAGAACACAGGGGATGCCGCTACTCACAGGCACACCTCGGCCACACAGCTGACACTTCCTGCATAGCCATTGGCCCTCGGGAATAAAAGGCACACCGTAGCACTCCTGGTGGACTGCCAAGTTGCAACCATCACAGAATACAATTGCATTTGTATTCTCACAGTCGCCGTCATCGCAAATGGCACACTTACTGTCGGGCTCGTCGCCCGCTTGCGGCTCGCCGCTAACGGCCACAGCTGAGCTTGACCTGGGTCGATGTGTCTGTGGAGGCTTGGGGTTCGGCTTGGGGATCCTCTTCTCCAGTGCATGCCATTCCTTGTCAATTTTCGTCATTGCTATTTCAAAAATCTCCCGAGTGATGGCCTCGAGCTCATGGTTCTTTCGCTGAGCATTATGGTGTTCGAGCCACATGTCATCCTGCTCGTCCATGTCGTACTCAACGCGGCCGAGTCTGCCATGCTGGACGTTATCTTCAGGCTTCATCAGCGATGGATCAATGTCTTCGTCTATAGTGGTCTCGGTAGCCTTGATTAGTTGTCGCTCTGGGCGAATGAAGTGGTCGCTCTCCTGGTACCCGACATTGCTCATCGCCTTATCGACATAACGTGCTTGGCCAAAGGTCTTGCTTTCAAACAATTCAACGCGATTTGTTTTACGATATGAGGGTAATTTCAAATCTAGTCGCTCTTTTGCTGTCTGGTTCTGGATCGGTAACACCTTGGGAGTCTTAGGCGTCACAGCTGTGGAAAAATCGAGTGGTCGTGTGCTATATACACTGACGACGTCGCGTGTTGGTCTGCGAGACCGTCGTGAGGGTGTTCCGTTGGGGGCATCAGCCGCGGCCGCCTGTTCTGATGTGTTCTGCGGATTTGGCGTGTTCCCCGTAGAAGCCGGATTGGGTTGTTTAGAAGGAGTCAATGACCCATTGAGAGGTGTTCCTGGTGCCTGTACGGCTGGGGTGGCTGATGGCTCGAGAGGAAGCCCGTCCACCTCTTCTGCCCGCAGGACGAGCAGGCAGCGGTCGATGTCGAGGTTTGGATGGAATTCCTCCCAGCCGCGCTCCTCTCGGGGCTTGTAATCGTCCACCTGCTTGACCGAGGCAGCCATTGCAGCAGCGGAACCAAATTCTATCTCGTCGTCGGCCGTTGTAGCCCTGGTGCGCGTGCTTCGCGCTCGCTTAGGTAATAGTGATGGGGAGGCTTCGTTGTTGTTGGTGGTGTTGTTGGAGGTGTCTCGGGCTCTCGATCGGCCGAGCGAGGACGTCTCGTTCGCGTTCGCGTCCGGATCTGTACCGTCCATGAAGCGGCCTCCGCCTCCCTGGCCGCCAGGAATGTAACGGCGTCTCTTGGGTGGTGGTTCCGAGGCGGCAAGGAGGGCCAGCCTTGCGGCGCGAGCAGCGTTGGTTGTCCCCGGAGGACGGCCACGGGGCCGACCAGTCGGGGTACGTCGTGAACCAGACATGATCGGTACCATGAGGGATAGGGTGTTTAGGATACTGGTTGGGTGAGGGACTGAAACTTGATATGATGGCGCAAGGGTGGAGGAGGCGCGAGAGCTCAAGGTGGGGATCGCTCCTCTGGGGGCTCGTTGGTCACCGAGAACGCCTCAAACGATTGGGCTGGGCGCAGTGATGCATGGAGCAGACTCACATGCCGACATGAAAGATCCCAGCAGGCGAAGGGTCGATGAGCTTTCCAAGTCTCTGAGGAGGGGAAGATACGGGCTGGCGTCGGCGTGCGGCTCGGCGCTCACTGGATGCGAAAAAACAACCAACGCGTGCACAGGCAGTCCAATGTTGCCCCCTTATTACTTAGCCGGCCAGTGCTCTTCAGTGCACTGAGCCCCATCAGTGGCCTGTATTCACAGCCTAGCCTTGGACGTCGGAGATTAGTCAGCGGCCTCCATCCGCCTGGTCCCGTTTGAGCTTGGCGCCGACTGAGCCAGATGCGATTCTGGGGAAGGAACGATCTGAATGTTCAATCAATCATTGCTCGAAGCCATCACATCCACCCACCAAGCCATGTCCGGAGAATGCATGTGCCAAGATAGCTGGGGTCTGGGGCTCCTGCCTCACTTCCGTCAGCCAATCTCATGACCCGTTCTTTTTTTTTGGGTGCTCTGAATGCAAGCTGTCCCAAACAGGCCGTTGTATGAAACGAGTTGTGTTGTTGGGAGCCGGCAGTTGGAGACAGAGAAATGCATCTTGACTGCCGATTCTAGGGTTGTAAGAACCATCAGCTGAAGCACGGGTAATCGCCGACAGATCCGGGCCATGTCGCTGCATCAGCTCGCACAAAGATGCCTCGACTCCAAGCACGGACCAGACCAAGCAAACAAAGAACCAAGAGGCAGGCAAATTATTAGTGAGGTAATGATACAAACGTAGATTGAAGAAAAGAGAGCCTAGTGTCAACGACTTTTCGAGAATATATCTAGACCTTCCCCAGAATGGGCGCATCAAGACGAGCGCTAGGCTAATAAGCGAGATCGATCTACACACTTCAGAATAGGGGATCAAGGTTAATTCCTCGGTCCACGTGGGGTTTGGCTGGCCATTATTGATGCATTGAGCAATCCAATTAATACGCTATTACCCATGTCCTTCAAATACGCTCCTCTACCACGTCAGTCACAGACAAGCATCTTTGGTTATCAATCGCGGAGTCATGCCTTGCTCAGGACTCTACTGTTTTACTAATGACTGAGATATATGAATCCAAGAAATGCTATTATAAAATCGAGAGAGACAATTGCAGGATTGTAAGTTTAATTGCTAGGAAATTTAGCATGAGTTCCGTTTCTTGAGCGCTACCTTATTATTTACATGGTGAGTTGATTGGACACGTGAGATAATACGCCTTTCGTAACCCTTGTTTCCAGACCCTCCGCATGCACTGTAACTTTCAACATTGCATTTGTGCATACTGTATTGGTCACTTTACTGGAGACGGCTCCCTGGACGAATAGAGATAATCACAAGTCACAGAACATAGGTCGGCACAAATGAGGAACAGATTTTGGTGGTACGCAGCGTCGACAAAGCGTCGACATTCCATCAATTAGTTTCAACTCGACTCTGCTGTCACGCTCTGCTGTGACACCTGGCAAGTCTATATCTAAAACAATAAATGCCCCAGAAAAGCAAAACAAAATCGTGAGAATCAAAGTGAGAAACCCTACCAGCGCCGTTCCATGTCCAAATACAATGAAGTGCAAACAAAATCTAACAAGTTCATGACGGGGATAAACAAAGACTCCAATCGCGAAACTCCTCCTGGTGTGAATTTTATGTCCTGATCATTGCCAAAGGTCTAACGCCACTCAGGCGCATGCTTCTGAAAGCCGAGACTTCTGGAAAACAAGGGGAAGGGGGTGAACGAAGACGGAGAATGCGGCCATGCAATCAAAGTATTCATCGACTCCCGAACGCCTAAGACGCTATGCTCCCAACTCTCAACTCGATAATCAATATGCGCAACCAAATCACAGCCGGAAAAGAAGCCAAAGCAAAAAACCGCCTGAATGAAAAACAACTAAAACACTGCAAAGTCATGCAAAGCAACGAAACAAAACGGAAAAGAGTAAATATTTGAAAAGAGCAATAAAGGGGTATCATGAGTATCATCGGGTGATCCGTGGTGCTTCTTAGGAAGCTCACGAGCTCAGTGGCTGGCCCAGGGTGCGTCCCTCATGTAGAGGGGAAGGCGAGAAAGCATGATCAGGGATATGTACTGGAGAGATTGCTGAGGAAGAAGGACCTGAGTTTGAAATAAAGCTGGTTGGGTGTCTTGGTTGCCAACTCTCCTCACTCAGGACACTCAAGTAATCGGTCCCGACCTTGTCCCGCAAGGCCTGAATTTTCAAGCGATAGGTCTCGCCATCCTTTCCCCAGTCTTGGGTCTTATTCCAGGTTGGATCAGAGTCTTCTGCAATGGGCGGTGGCGTCGCATCCACATCACCGACTACATCAGTATCGATGCGCGGTATGGCCGCTTGAGAAACTACCGAGCTTCCATGGCTATCTTGGAATTCGGAGGGTGAGAGGAGTTGGGTATGTGGCGTCAGGGAAATGAGGTAATTTGGTTCCGTTGACGTTCTGAGAGGTGCAAGGCGCTCGGTTTTGAGAGGAACCGTGCGTTCGGTTGGGGTGGTATTCTTGTGAATGTCGATGGCAGTGGGCGAAGGGGGGGTCTCGCCCGAGGACAAATCGACGATTCGACGCTTGGGGGTTTTGCGGCGTTTCGTCGCGCCAGTGGCGCTCTCGCCTACAATAACCTTGGAGATTGGACCGTCATTGCGAGCAGAATTCTCTTTCTGTGTACCGTATACAATCGCAGGCTTGTTTACCTCGACCGAAGCCATCTCAGGAGCCTTTGGTTTCACGACGGAGATGGGCTCCGGAATGGGAACGCGATCAACAAGGAGGCGTTTCTCGGCATAGCTGGGACCAGTGCCATCGATCAAAATGTCCTCGGTGTACCCGGGGGTTTTACGAAACAGGTTGAAGATTGAAATCCTATAGTCACGATGGGATCGGGTGAAGTTGTTGCCTTCAACCCAAATTTCCCGCAGATCTGGAATACCCGTCAACCGTGCCAGTTCCATTGGGTCTGTCAGACGGTTGTCTCGCAAGTCTAGCCTTTCGAGGGGGTATAGCTTTTCAATGCCTGCCAGGGACTGCAGCCGATTAGCTCGAAGATTGAGGGCTGTAATAGCAGGCAGTGGGTTCCGAGTCAGCGAGTGGAGGGAATCAATCATGCAATGTGACAGGTTCAGGGCGCGGAGAGCCGTCAGCGTTGCTAGGCTTTCCGGTACCTGGCTGAACAAGTTGGAAGACAAGTCCAAAGAGTAGAGCGTGTTGGATAGGGGTTGTAAGCCAGCAGGTGGTATCGAGGTCATGGAATTGTCTGCCAAACTCAGATGTCTCAAAAAGCGCCACTTCGAAGAGGGCAGAGTCATCGTTGCCATGAGATTTCCAGAGCTGTTGCGAGAGTGCAATGGCCAAGAGTCCGCGAGACTGGAGTAGGAGCTCCCTGAGCCAGATCGGCGGATGCGCTCCGACGACCTGGTGTGGCTGGGTGGATGGCGAGCACCTCCCATGCGGGAGGGCGAGCTACTCCTTGGTCTACCATCGTGGGTCAAAGGCTTTTGGTACTTGCGGTTCTCGTTTCTCGATGGCGTTTTGGCGCTATCTGATGCACTGCTGTCCTCAATCGCATGTTCGCTAGGCGTCAGAGAACCTACGCGGAGGTCCCCGGCAGAGTGCCTAGGATCATTAGAAGGGGAGGGGGGAGGCAAGGCAGACGGCAAAGGAACGGTCATTGAGCGTTGGAGCTCATGGTGCATGGTGGTTGAACCTCGACGGGGACTGTTGCTGTAACCCAGAGTAGCGGTAGGTGATGCCTGAGTCTTGGACGACCTTCGGCGTCTCTGATCCATGTCATCCAGCACGATGTCGATGAGGATATCGGCCGGATCTTCGATGCCAGCTCGTTTGAGGGAAAGAGAGCGCAACTGGTCAGCGAGGCGGTCCCACCCAAAGAATTGCCTGAAATCGATGCTGCTGACTTCCAAAGACTGCAAGTTTTTGAAAGCGTACAGAGGAACAGCAGAATCGAATGGGAACTCCTCGTACCCGCGAATGAGTCGGGCACGCCAGTCGGGGGCCAGGCGGAGGCAGGGAATCTTCGTGAAAGCTGAGTACAGGTATTTCATGTCCGAGTCGAGCGCTGCCTTCTGTCGTTCCGTCCTGGCCGCTGATATACTGGCGCTGATGCCTAGGCTCGCCCATAATGCTGACATGCTTGACATGACGCCGCCGACACTAGAGACGGAGCGGATGGAGCCCACATCGGAGTCACGACTCCTGGAACGCTGGGTATTGCTAAGAAATGACACATAGTTGGCAGAGGTGGAACTATCGTGAAGGTTTTCTAGCCGAACTTTCATGGGCCCCACGGCAATACCGAGCTCTTCGAATCGTGAGAGCAGGTAAAACAGGTGGTGTGGTGTCAAGGCCAGCTTTGCTGACTTGACATTGTTCGAACTGAGGCCGAGACCCCCGAAGGAAAAGGCGCTCCCCAAGGAGCTCGAGGTTGATGCCGATGTGGCGGGTCGGTCGGGAAGAGTTGGTGTTCTGGGCAGGCTCACGGAGCTCGTACTCTGGGTCGGTCGATGTCGTGTGTCACGGCGCTGCAGTTGCAGAGCATTTGCAAGGGCCTTTTCGTGCGTTCGCACGAAGCCAGCAAGGTGCTGTGGTTCATATGTTAGCCAGGCGGCGCGGACAGAGCCTAGATGCATCCTATCAATACATACTTTTATAAACAGATCTCCGTCTTCCGAATCCATGTTAATGTACCGATGCACATCAAAGGTGACTAATGGGAGAGGAGAGATGGTTGCACGAATTCGATCGGCGGGAGAGGGGAGTTGGCCAAGGCCGTGTGGTTTTCTGGAAGATAGCGAGTCGACTCAGCAAAGAGCCCCTCTGGATTTTTGGTGTTAGTAGAGACAACACAATCAGATACACGAAACGAGATCGGGCGAGACGACAAGAAATACAATGAAGCAATGTGCGAAAGCCGCGAGAACAGACCCAGTCTATATACAATATGCTGGGGATGCTTCGGAGACAGAAAGAGCAGCCGGGTCAGATATCACATCACGCACAAGACAAGTCACACGCGGCACGGAATGACATCAAACGCAAACACACTGAAATGGTCGAGAGTGCAGGAGCGCACACGGGGAAGGGTAGCCGAAAGGGGGAGAGACAGATGAAGCAAAAGTGCACTGGAAAGTCGAGGGCTCGTGGCAGGCTGCGGGGGTGATACTCGAGTATAAGTGCTGAATGAAACTGGGTGGAAGGAAACGGCCGTGGATGGACGGGAGTCGGCCCAGATAGCAAGCACAGGCGAGAGTAACAGCGGGTGCGGTTTCGAGGGCTAGGCACCGACAATAGGGGAGCAAACAGAAGAATAAGGCAAACAGAAAATAAACAGAAGGCTGAGATGCTTGAATTCAAATGTGCAAATAGACTGACTCACCCGGCCACAGTTGCCTTGAACCAAGCGCCCGCAGGATATATCGGCAACTTCTCGCAGGCGTGCTCGCGATGTTATTATTATTCGAAGCGGCCGGTCGTCGGTATCGCGAGGCCTTTGCTCACGTCGAGGGTCGGAAGGCCGAAAAAGAAAAGCAAAGGAATGGAATAGAAAGAAAAAAGACCCTGTATCTCCTCCGTGTGGTGGCTTGCTTCTCTTGTCGGAGAAGATGCAGAAGCAGAAGAAGGGTCCAAGGCGGAGGGGTCTGGTCAGAGGGACCCAAATCCTAATAAACTGGCTGCATGTGCGTGGACCCCGAGAAAAGAGGCTGCTTGGGGCCATGCGGCATGCCACAACGCCCAGGGCCATCCACCAGACCCCCCTCCACCCGCAGCTGGGAGTTCAAGGTCAAGGGCGATGGGCGCCTGCAAAACCCACTAGACGCCCCCCTGCACGCTGCGACTCAGGCCCACCTGCGGGTACATGCCTGCCTGCAGCTACGACTATCGCCTCCACCCATGATAACGGCAGCCAGTGGACTGCACTAAGCCATGGATCAGACGCTGGACAATCAATCACCACCAAAGGAAGGCCCGCGCAGGGCTCTTTCTGCCATCTCGCAGGCTTTGTCTGCTGGGGGACAATGCACAGCGATTCGAGCTTTTTCTTTCGTTGTTTCTTTCCCAAGCCTCACCCGACACACCACCGCCCCTTTTCAGTCTCAACTACCAAGCCTAGACTTGACCTATTCCTCACGCTCACGTCCGCCTGTGTCAGCTTTTATCATCTCGACTGTCATCCGGGCTCACAATGTCTCGCTTCCCAGGTGCCCCTGCTTGGCCACCTGATTGGGGAGGGTCACAGGCGTAGCTATAGTATGTGGACGTGCTCTGTGGACGCGCAGCGACAAAATAATAGGTAATAATAATAATACCCGTCGACTTATAATTTCCATACACATGCATGCGCACCAGAGCTAATTACCGGGCTCCTCCTTGCCTGCTAGCTTGCGCTACTAGCTACGCACTACGGATTCACCACTGCACGCGACGGCCGAGAGACTGCTTCAGCCGACATGTAGTAAAAGCAAATGACGATGAGAAGTGACAGCCGGGGCTCTGCCACCAATGAGGGTTTGATGCGCGGGCTTGGAACGTGAACCAGCGGCTGTGCTGAATGGAGCCTGGCGACGCCTCTCCTCTGTCTCTGTAGGTATGTCTCGTCCATACCATGCGAGGACGAGCTCTAGCGACCCCTACATTATACTCCCTCATACCTATCTTGCTTGCTCCCATGTGTGCCGAAACAGACTCGGGCCAGGGAGTATGTACCTGGATGTAGTAGGTGGCTTGTGGCGGTTGACTTCCCAGAACAGGGCCCGTCGTTGGCGGCGTGGCCTGTCTTGGATAGGTCCAGATGCCTCGCATGCCGAAGCTCGACGTCAGTTGCTCTGATCGTGCTTCCCTCCAAACGAATCGAGCGCAACGTGCTGGCCCTGCCAGTGACGCAAGCAGTTGCACACTTCTATAATCGAGGTAACATATCAAATGCGCGTTGACGATGATAGTGGGGTCGAATTGGAGATGGGCGACGAGGAAGAAAAAAAAACCCGCGCGCAATCAGAAGCATAGCGGGGTCCTCACCTCACAATCACCGGTTCGACGACGCCAAGGCTAAGCGTTGCCAGAATGATCAGAAGCACATCAGTCAGAGGAGCCAACGGCCGTCTTGGGTAAGGTGTTCGGGAGCCTCTTGGTGGAGTTGGAGGGAGCCATGTGGGGATCTTGGCAGCCGAGAAGGAGTTGAGCGAGCGAGATAGACGGCCTGGACCAGGGAAGCGAAGGGGACGAAAGCTGGCAGCATGACATGGCAACTGACGATGCGATCTTGATGCAACTCGCGGCTGGGACAGTCACTCACTCTTGAGAGCAATCGATCGATGCTTGCACGATCCCACGCAGCCAAGACACACCTGCCGTTGTCTTGCTTTCCTTTCCTTTCCTTTCGTCCCTCGTCTCGTCATCTGAGATGATGTGTGGACGACTACCGGAGTGTTGATCAGTTTGTTTACTTTACTTGTTGGTGCTAGGTCTAAGACACCCCAGACTAGGCTGGTGTGTGGTGAGACAGGAACCATGTAAATACCGATAATTGAGAGCCAGGCCGGAATTCCCATGTTGGACTCGGTCCAGGCCGTTGCGACATCGCCGCCGCCGCCGCACCGGATGGGATTGGATGCGCAGCGCAGCCAATCCTCGCTGGTGGCGGCCGTTGATTGTTTTTGACTTCATTTCGTCGTGCAGGACCCAGCCAGGAGCACGGAGCCGGGAGACTGAGCATTGGCCAGGCGTCGATATTGGCGACGGCCACCAGCTGCCTCTGGCTCTGCGCGACGTTCCCCATGGAGGCTAGGCCCATCCGCTTGCCGATGGCTCACTAAGCCCAGCAGAGGAGGCCAACTGCACCGCCGGCCAGGGGGCCAGGATCCAACCTCCTTGGACTGCCGTGCCGACCAGCCCTCCTGGCCCTCGGTCGTCGAGACATGGGATGCTGAGCACGCACGCACCGCAGTTGCCAAATGGAGATATTCCTGCTCTCTGGGCAACCGTTCGCTGGTCCTGAGAGGAAACAATCTCTGTCTGGCCATTGTCTGGCCTCGCGATGGACCGTCACAACGTGGAATGGCATCACTCTCGACATCGAAACCCACCCCGATACCACGCAACGACGACACCCAGCGCCACTCGCGATCAGCCGCCCATCTGCTGCCGGTTCAATCTCGTCCATTCAACCATCAGCATGGGCCCGTCTGGCAATGGCATCTCTGCTTCGAGCTATGTCATCCTCCCCACTGCGCGCAGAGCATGCTTCAGTTGATTGGGGGCATCATGTCATCTTGCCTGGTCAGCCCCCCGCGCCCCTCCTCCCTTATCCTCCACCTGGATGGTATCCCCCACTATTAATCCCAAATCCACACCTACTGCAGAGACAGCCAAGAAGATGGGGGCACCTCTCGTCGACGCTCCAGCAGGCGTTTCAAGGTGTTAAATCGTGTCACGCCTGCTCAGGATTGGCTAGCTGGCTGGTTCTTCATCGTCCAAGTTGCCACACTCGGTACTACACCCATTTGATACTACACCACCACCGGCCATCTCATCCCATGTCGGACCAAGGAGATGTATGCATATGTCACCTTGGTATCGTCGAACAGCTGCTGAATGGACCAAACTACTGGGTCGAAAAGACGTAGAGGTAAAACAGTAGAGTGAACGAGAAATACAAGCAAGAGACGCAAGAGGAGGGGCGAGGGAAAGGAACTGCAGCAAAGGTACTCTATACATTGCGGTTTGTTTCAAGATCTACCTAGACTTGCCGCTCTGTCACATCACTGCAACTTAACGCAGTGAACTCTGGGGAGAGTTCACATTGAAACAACCATTCTGATTGATCTCATATCGCTGAACCCTGGCCAAATAAGCGCTCCCAAGTGGATTGCAGGTGGCTGTCGGTACATGTCGATCCGTCTAACTATGTTCACCAGATCAAACAAAATTGGCTGTGCTTGAATGGAAGCGCCTGTGGTGATCCTCACCGCCTCTCATCAAATTCCTAGCGCATGTCGTGACTCGGCAGGCAGCACACCACCTCGCGATTGGCTGATATCTTCTCTCTGCCACCTCCATGCTACCTACACGATACTTGGATGATACCTCCGTGATGCGGAAATGACTTGCCTTGGACCACTTTGGATTGTCTTGCAGGATCATCGTATGTCTGTCAAGCGGATGTCCACATGCCGATATACTCCCGGCAGCGCACAATGCATCGACATCTGGAACATGACAGAAAAAAACTAACAAGTGAGGAGAGGGTGGGATACAAGCAGGAAATACCACGATCCCTCAGCCTCTACCTAGATGCCATGCTTAAATTCTCCTGCGCTTGAGGTTGCATCGCATCATGTACATGGTTGACGAAACCATTGATATTACCATCAGCTACACCATTCCACCACTCGGCCAAGCCCGGCTCTCCCTCCTTCTCTTCTCTGACTGGTAGTGCAGGTACTATGTAGGCAAGATTGATTTTCATGTGCATACATATGGACGTGTAGGAGTGGTAGTGCATGGATATTCCGCATCTGGTGATTATTCCCTCTCCTTCAGCGACGCCATCTCACTTGGCACCAGCTGAGATGATCCAGAGCGGCGAGATGGAGGGAGGGGTTGAGCGGTGGTCATTGGCTAGCTCTATCCCAAGCGGCTCCTCTCAGATCCTCGGTCTCTCTTTTTCAATTAAAGCCAC